GGGCATGTATTATTTATTTGTTTGTTTGTTTATACATACAAGCACTGGGTACAGTCAGAAGCGCGGGAGGGTGAGAGAATTCACCAGAGCCAGAGCGGGGAGCAGAGCAGGCAGAAGGACCGAAGTACACTGCTGAGGGGAGCAGCGGGCAGGACAGGAGAGGTCTGTGCGCCATGTGGGACCCTCCTCCGGTGGCCAGGGAGCAGCTGGGGATCGAACTGGCGCCGCAGAGGCCGCGGGCAGCTTCGCAACCCAGCGCTCAACCCAGCGCTCAACCGCTGCGCCACCGGGGAGGCCCTATTTCTGTAACATTTTAAAAGAACAGGCTTAGGGTCGATCTGGTGGCACAAGGGGTTAAGTCTCAGCATTATCAAGCAATCACCAGCTACTGCAACATGAATTCCATCCCCTGCCAGGAAGGTGACCCACATGGCACAGCAGACCTCTCCTGTCTCACCAGCTACTCCCCTCAGCAGTGCATTTCAGTAATCTGCCTGTTCTCCTCCCCACTTTGTCGCTGGTGAACCCTCTCACCCACCACCACCTCTGGCCTGTACCCCAGTTCTTGTATGTATAAAAAGGACAGGCTTATTGGGAAAAGAAGACAGGAAGCTGTATAGTCACAGGTGGACAGAAGAGCTGCCTGATTTTTCAAATTCTATCCAGTAGTCCATCAAGTTGTTGCTTTGTCTTTCCATTACAATGAAATTTATCACAAATCATTCCAAGTAATAAGTATTTTCCCCCAGTTCTTGCTTATGTAAATGTCAGTTGCCATGACAGCAAAATACTGCCCTTGATTATATGGCAGAGCTTGCTAAGGAACAAGAAACAACTAGCTGGTTCAGACATAAGCCTAATCCCACAGGCATGTCTATCTAACAAGGGAAAGGAGAAACTGGGGCAATTTTTTATTCAAAAGAAAAAGTGAAAGTAGAGACTGATTCTAGTGGAGAAAAGATGTAGCTGAAGAATTTAAATAAACCACTTCCTCTTGTTAAATTCTTTTTTTGCCGATGATGTGGTTGTTTTTCATTATATCACAAGGTTCTTAAAGGGTATGGGGCACAATTTCAGGTCAATTTTTTCTTTACTTCCAACCCTCCTTGACATTAAAATGGGGTCATGCCCTTTACCTTAATACACAGAATTCACAAGGATCCTGCCCCTACTATTTGCTTGCTCCAGTTGCTGCCTCTGAGGTGTACACTACTGAAAAATCTAAGTAACAGGCTAAGAATTACTTTGAATTGTGTTTAGGATACATTATACCATTCCCATTATAGTTGGCTTTTTTGTCCTTCCCTCCTTTCCTACACAGTGGCATTTTATTTTTTAAAGATAGATTTATGCATACAAGAACTGTGGCGTAGGCCAGAGATGCAGAGAGAAAGAGGACTCACCAGAGACAGAGTGGGGAGCAGAACAGGCAGATCCACTGAAATACACTTCTTGGAGGAGCAGTGGGTGAGACAGGAGCGGTCTGCTGCACCATGTCGGTTAGCTCCCTGGGTGGGATAAAACTCATGCTGCAGTGGCTGGTGATACCTTGATAGCGTTGAGATTTACTTTAACCTCTGTGCCACCAGGGAGGCCCTACAGTGGCTTTTTAATCATTATTATTTTTTAAAGATTCATTTATTTATGCATACAAGAGCTGGGGTATAGGCCAGAGGTGCAGGGGGATGGTGAGAGGATTCAACAGAAAGAGAGTGAGGATTGGAACAGGTGGATTGACTGAAATACACTGCTAAGTGGAGTAGCTGGTGAGAAAGGAGAGGTCTGCTGAGCCATGTGGATCACCTCCATGGCTGGGGATGAAACTCATGCTGCAGTGGCTGCAGACTGCTTCATAGTGCTGCCACTTAACCCCTTTTGCCACCAGGGAGGCCCTACAATGGCATTTGTTTTATTATGCATATAATAACTGGGGTACAGGCCAGAGGTGCGGGGGTGAGGGGATTCACCAGAGACAGAATGGGAAACAGAAAAGGCAGATGTACTGAAATACACTGCTGAAGGGAGCAGTGGGCAAGGCAGGAGAGATTTGATGCACCACATGGGTCAGCAATCTGGCCAGGGATCAAACGCGCTGCAGTGGCTGCGGATAGCTTTCATAGTGCTGAGTTGTAACCCCTTGTGCCATCAGGGAGGCCCGACAGTAGCATTTTAAACAAAACAATTTGGACATAATCTTGACATTTCAGATAAGTATGGCTCACTAGAAATTAAAAATAAGATATAACCAGGGCCTCCCCTGGTGGCGCAGTGGTTGAGCGCTGGGTTGAGAGGCTGCCTGCAGCCTTTGCAGCACCAGTTCAATCCCAGCCACTGGCGAGGGTCCCACACACACACAAAAAAGATATAACCAGCAAAGAATCTTCATTGTATTCCCTCTAAGTGATGAAGTTACCTCCCCTTCTAGGGAGTCTTGGTGACAAGCAGCATCCAAACCGGAGACAGGACTTTGAATGCATTTCATGTTTCTGAGACAGAACTTTCCTAAATGGATTTTACTCTGACCTTTATCAAAATGAACCTGCAGTTTTTCCATATACACAGGACCAAATATGGTGGGGACAGCATCTCAGAGGCAAACAACTAGGTCCCTGTTCCCCAGCACCCAAACCCTGCTGAAGAAAATGTTTTTCTTTCAACAAATATGTATTTGTCTGCTTTAAGGCAGGCTCTATGCTGGGCTCTGGGGATATGATGAACAAATCTGATGTGGTTCCAGCTCTGCTGGGGTTGATTTGGATATGGAATTAAAGCATTTCAGAAATATGTAATTACAATCTGAGAGGAGTGCTGTGAAAGCTAAGGATGTGATAATCAACATGATTTGGGGGTTCAGGGACGGCATTTCTGAGAAAGTGGTATTTAAACTGAAACTAAGAGAGAAAGTCAGAGGTGGGGGAGCGAGCTTCAGAATGAAAAGAGCTTGCCCATTTAAAAAGCTGAAAGTCAAGTCTGCTAAAAGCTTAGAAAGAGATCTAAGTGGAAGGAAAGGTCACACAACTATGTAGGTTACTTTATGGAATATGAAGGTTATATTTTCTAATCAAGAGGAAGTGATTAGGGGCTTCCCAGGTGGCGCAGCGAGTTGAACACAGTGCTGAGCTGTCTGTAGCCTATCGGGTTCTATCCCCACCGGCTAGCAAGAATCCCACATGGCACAGCAGACCTCTCCTGATTGGCCCGCTGCTCCCCTCAGCAGTGTATTTCAGTCAGTCCACCTGCTCTGTTCCCCACTCTGTCTCTGGTGGGTCCTCTCACCCTCCTGCGCCTCTGGCCTGTACCCCAGCTCTTGTATTTAAAAAAAAAAAAAAAGAGATCTCAGCAAAATAAGCCAGAAAGAAAAAGAAAAATACCACGTGATCTCACTCATAACAGAAATATATAAAACCTAAATAAGGGACCAGGAAAAAGAATAACTATACAAAAGGAAAAAAATCGAAATCAACAAACAACTATGAACCAGAGACACACTTTGGGGGGGGGGCAGGGAAAGGAGGGATGGGGGTCAAAATCAGGGGGTTGCAATTGTATGGGGAATATAAAAATTAAAAAAAAAAAGAGGAAGTCATTTAAGTTTTAAACAAGGGAATGTCATAATCAAGTTTGCCTTGTGAGATCATTCTCGTTGCTTTATACTGAACAGATTGGGTAAAGTGCACTAGTTAGGATGTGGTCTCTATAGTTCAGAAGATGGCTGTTGGGAGTGGTGAAAACACACATGAGTGCTAGTGGAAGTACTTTGGGGGTAGAACTAATGGGAGTTGGCGCTAAGCTGGATGTGAGAAGAGGAATACCTATCAGTGGGCAGCCAATGGTACAATAAACAGAATAAACACAGCTAGTTTACTGAGTGACATGTTTAGTTGTGCCCCAAACAAGGGCACTCAGTTGAGACAAGAGGGGCTGAATACAAACCATTTAGCTTTAACAACTAGCCAACAAAATATAGTCACATACTCTTTTGGTGATGATCGATGAGTTTGGGACAGAAAAGGCACCCTTGGGTCAATGTGATACTCTAGCAAAATAATTAGAAAACGGGTGAGGTTAAGGTTACTATTATCCCATTGCAATAACTTCTAGACTCTGGCAACAGATGCCAAGACTTTGTTAGTTCCCTGCGCCATGTAGAGTTCATGAGAACCCATGGAGTCAGGCTGGAGGCCTGGGAAGGCAAGGCAACACTGAGTCAATGTACGAACCTACAAAAATGGCAGACACTCCAGGAAGCTCACTCCTGCATCACACCAAATGGAAGGGAAGCCTAAAGGTACTGAACAAGCAGTATTACTATACTCACATAGTACCAAACTCATTTTACTCCCAGCATAAAGGAGAAAGGAGGAGCCCATTTTAGTGCTACAGAGCTCCATTTTCTCATGTTTCCTTGCTGATACTCAAAACCTTGGGAAAGTCCCCCTGCTCTACCAGGTTGAAGTCAAGGCCAGAAACTCCATGAAGTTCTCCCAAAATGAACAGATGGGGCTTTGATCAAGTCTATTTGCACATACCTGATCATTTTCCTTCCTATTCCCGGAAGGCTACATTATCAAAAAACTTCTCTATCTTAAGTGGGAGGGTAAAAAAGTCTGTCCAAACTGGTTTACCTTTGACCATTTGGTTAAAACTTGAGTGCCCAATCTGCTAGAATTCAAAGTGCGTCGAAAAATCTAAGTATCATGCTGGGCATAAAACACTGTAAGCATGCCCTGGAGCAAAAGTCAGCATTGGTATACATTTACTTCTGCTTGCCTTCATCCTATCCTTAACAGGATTTTCAAGCACTGCTCTCTTCTTGATGGATAGTTTTCCCTCAACCCTCTCTCTCCACTTCTATCTCTTCAGGATATGTATGGCAGCAGAGCTCAAAATTCTTTGCCTCCTCCTGCCAAACTTAGCACTGTTTTCACATTTTCTTCTATGGTGGGGGCTTCTTCTCTCTTCTTATCTGAAAGAGGAATAGAATTTCATCTGAAGATAAGGGTCACAAAATTAAGAGTTGGTATGAGCACACTATATAAAGGAACCCAACACTAAACATATTAAACAAGGTTTTGGCAGTTTATTTTTTTATTGATATAAAGTAGAAACATATGTAAATCATCTTGCTGTTAAGTTTTTGCATGCCAAAGTTGGCATCCTTCGGAATAATTTCCTTTATTACTCTGGATGGACACACTGCTATGTCTATAGCAGTAACTAGATATATTTTGGGTGTAAGGCAAAACGCTGTATAGTTGCTGAAGACTTTTTTATTTTAAAACTTCATCACCCATAGAACACAAAACTATAATAGAGTATAATATCAATCTTTTAGGTATATATATCCACACACTGTTTGTATGTGTCTACATATACATGTGCTCCGAGGTGGGAAGAACATGCTTATTAGCTTTTCTTCTTTTTGTATTTCTTAAATTATCTACCTTGAAACATGCTAATTACCTAAAAAGGGCTTATCCATACTAACATTCCAAAAACATACTGTATTACATCCAAACTTCTCATTTGCTTTACAAAGACCCCTATTGCACATAACCATTTCTGGACAAGTTTGAAGCTGTCTGTCTATATCATTCAAGCCTTCCAACTATATCATTCTTGTGTTCCCTCAAATAATTCATGAATTCCCAAGACTCTTCAAAATATTACCAATTAATTCTATTTTTAATGAATACTCAGAGGGTGTATAATTTTTTCTTTATCTGATTATGATTGTAGGCTATTGACATCACACACCTCTTACTACCTACACATAAAAGATCTATCTCATGTGAAAAATATTCAAAGATTACTTTCTTCAAAAGATCACCAAGCCAAACATTTGGCCATATTTTTATTTACTACATATACTATAAACATATACAATACATGCTACAAAAAAACCCATTTTTTAAAATTTAACTGTCAAGAAACAGAATAGTGTTATAATACAATGGCACATGTTCATACTTTATTTCAAATTGGTTTGCTTATCACCCATTTCAAACCATTAAGTGAAATGTTATTAAGGATAATTAAAAATTATGTATTTGCATTATTAACAATAAACAATTCCAACAAATTAATAATTAACCATGTCAAATATTAGTATCCAAAAAATGGGCTTTTGCAGAAATGATTATATAAAATATAGCAGCCAATTTCAGTTTACTTTGCTCTGTGACATATGCACATACACACTTGAATAGGATTCTAGAATTTGCTTTTGGAAGATACTGGTAAGTCCTTTCTTAAGGTCCAACAACTGTCACATCAGCAAACTCCAATCCAACAGTCTTGTAATGGCTTCAGACAATAGATCACTGAGAAATTCTTATGATTTACATAGAGCCGCATGTCCCATTGATATTACATTATGATTAAAAGAGACATTACAAGCCAAAAGTCAAAGGCAAAAGAAAATACAGTCAAATCAGTTGTGACAAAGTTTCTCTACACATATTTTAGATGTCATATTTTCAGGAAAACAATAATAGCACACATTTGGATTTTACAGTATTTATGCTCTAACTGAAAATTTAAGAGTAGTCAGATGGAATTAGGTCTAGTATTACAAATTTGTTCATTCAACATGTCTAAGCACCCACAGCACTGTGCTAACATTTTAAAAGTAGAGTATTAATATCTTTATCAAGCATTACTTTAGTGTGAGGTAAAAATACATTAAATTAGCATCAACTCATTAGTTTGCTTGTGATAATATCCTGTGCCAGCTGGCCTCCCTGTGCCATATGAGCTTCTGCCATGTCACCACTCACTGACAGAAACACCCGCATACAATTATGCCAGGCATTCTGCTAATCACTGGGATACCATGATCTGGGATATTGCAAATCATTAACCTATGCAAAAAAATTAGGAAGATACATTACTTTTCTAAAATGAGGCCTAAAGCAAAATAAAATGTGTTTCTATTGGTCATACCACACCATGGACCAGTAGTGCCTTTCTAGACTGGGAACTAACTGAACATTTCATGTGAAGTCTAAATAGCCTAGATCATTTTTGGTCTCAGAAGACTATTCTTTGGAGGACCTGACCCTATTAAAACCATTCCACGCTTAAAAGGGTTTGTAAACTAAACCTGAACATAAAGAGCCAAAAATGAAGGCAGTTTATAATGTAATGTACTTTAAACACTATTCTGGTCATGTATAATGAATAATACGTAATTCATGATTGGTTCAAACATTTTTCAAAGCACTAACTCCAAACTGATGTAATTTTAACTTGACTCTTATGCTGTACATAAAGCAAAGGACAGACTTTGGCCCTACAACCTTTTATGGAATATTCTAAGCGATTGGTCCTTCCACTCCAAAGAGAGTGCCCTAATAGGATACTGGCATTCAGGACAAAAGGCCCTGCTGGATTCCATGAGCCAGGAGTCTCTGTAGCTGTTGTAGCAGTGTGAACCTACTATGACTCCTTGGGGGAAGGCAGAGAGCTGGGAGTTTGTTTGGCTGTCTACTCAGTGAATCCAATACTGGCTTAAAGCTATGCACTGAATAAAGTGCTTTGCATATCCTGCTCATCAGCTGAACAAAAACATTTATTTTAAGAATTACACCTATTTGTAGATTATGGGAAAATAATAGGGTTGAAAGACTTCTAAGAAATAAAGTATGAAGCACTGACTAGGAAGGAAGACAAATGCCTTAGTGTTTTCAGAATTCTCAGGATTTGAACTGTTCTATAAATGAAAAAGCAGTCCCACTGGGTACTATTCACATGGTGCATGATTATTTCACGGGGTTGGAAGCAAACAGTCTACTTGCCATTTGGTAGTATGATTTCAGAATGAAACAAAGCCAATAAGTAAATCAGGGCAAGCAGTATGATGTCCTGTCCATCAGTTCTTCACAGGTTGCTTCACATTGCCCCAGAGGAAGGAGGAGACCTTACCTGTCCCTTCTGACATCAAGGCATGGCTGCTATTACCTACACTTGACAATTGAGTTAACACACAAGCCCTCCAGTTTCGTACCCTGAATACTTTAAATGAGACTAGGGATGGAATAGTTGAGTCTGAAAAAGATCACAGGTAACAGTATGCTTATATAAACTAGACTGCTTTGACTTCTGTAAGAAAACTTCTGTATAGATGGCATTCGGGAGGGGGGGGGGAGATTGTTCCCATCTGTCATCAAAACTGTTGAGCTATACTCAGCTGAAGTCCTCATCAGGATTCTGTTGATCCAGCAGACGGACATGTGTGAATGGGAAGTGACCTCGTTTGCCATTACACTCCCCTTCCCACTGACCACTCACATTAATCTTCGTAACCTTTACCAGCTCACCGACCTGCAGGAGGAGAATAAGGACAGCACTTTATTTCCAGTTTTGAATGCAAGCTGAAAAACTCCATTCTCTCCTTAGGCATACCCTGCTCACCTGATTGCTCTAGGGCTGTTACAGAAATAAATATTTGATGGCCCCCGAGCCCAAGCCCCCAGGCTGATTACTTGTGGTTAATGCAGGCAGAAGGAAGAAGTGATTTAAGCAGTGCAGAAAAGAGAGTACAAAACATAGAAAGGGTCCTGGAAAATGGTACTTTTTTATTTTTTTAAAGAAATTTCAGTGTCTAATTGAGATGAGCAATCCCAACAACAGAAAGCTAGTGTTCCTTTTTTTCCACCCCCCTTTGGTAGCTATTAAACTTAACTTCCTGCCTCAAAGGCCCTGGCCTATGGGAAAAAGCAAGCACATGTTCTCCTCACTGAAATAAAGCAGCAGCACAATCCCCCAGTCCACTCTCCTTCCTATTAGGAGAAGGCTTCTACTTAGGCAGATAAAGGCCAAAACTCCTAATTTCATCATATCCCTATTAAGTCTACCTTCCTCAGCAAGGTCTATTGGGCAGGTCACTTTCTGTCAGCTCACAATCCTCTTCAAGTACTGACAGCCATTGTTCCCTCAATGCTACTGGTACCTATTCATTAATAATAAGGAGGCATCATATTTTTTTTTTTTTAAAGATTTATTTATTTATTTATTTATACAAGCACTGGGTACAGTCAGAAGCTCGGGGTGAGAGAATTCACCAGAGCCAGAGCGGGAGCAGAGCAGGCAGAAGGACCGAAGTACACTGCTGAGGGGAGCAGCGGGCGGCAGGAGAGGTCTGCGCGCCATGTGGAACTCTCCTCCGGTGGCCGGGAGCAGCCGGGGATTGAACCAGCGCTGCAGAGGCTGCGGGCAGCTTCATAACTGCTGTGCCACCAGGGAGGCCCAGGAGGCATCATATTTTTACTTCTGTTCTAAAAAGCTTACTGTTGCAATGTAAAGTATATATAGTTTTGACAATGTAGATAGATCTCTATCCTGCCATGAAACTTAAGACAAGGTCAATCTAATCAATGCATTCATCCTGTACCCAAACAGTGAACTATGGTGAGATAAGGTTCCAAATACCAATGAACTTAAAAACTTTGACTATCTTAATTATTAACATCTGAATTCTAAACATATAGAGGTTTCTAAGCATAACTGTTTATTAACTATTTATTAAATTTCCATCAATATTGTAGAGGGTATTTGATATTATTTTCTAATTATAGTAACCTTATAAGGGCCTCCTGATGGCGTAAGGGGTTAAGATGCAACCTCTGCAGTTAGCCACTGCAGCACAAGTTTGATCGTCAGCCAGGGAGCTTACCCATATGGTGCAGCGGACCTCTCCTGACTTGCCCCGTTGCTCCCCTCAGCACAGTATTTCAGTCAACCTGCCTGTTGTTTCCCACTCTGTCTCTGGTGAATCCTTTCACCCCCGCACCTCTGGCCTGTACCCCAGTTCTTTTACGCATAATTTTTTTTTAAATAACCTTGTAAGACTAATTATTTCATTTTACAGATGAGAAAACTGAGGTTCAGAACAAATACACGATATGCCTAAGAACACAGCCAGGGACAGGGCTAGGATTTGAACCCAGGACTATCTGGTTCCAAAGCCCATTTACAACCTTTCTACTATTCCAGGAACATTCTGATTTTGCTCCTAGGGCCCTAGGAGATGACTAAGAGTCTATAGGACAACTACTGGCTAAAGACAACTCAAGTAGACCCAGAGCTTTCTAAAAACTAGCTTGATTTCACTCATAGAGGACACACCTTGGCTACTCAACTATTTGCAATTTCCTAAAGACCTACCTGAAAGTCACAGAGGCCTAAAGCAGTTGTGTGAAGTCATAGAAAGGCTGAGAAAAGCAGGATAGAAACCAGAAAATATTAGCAAGACAAGGGATTAAGATTCAAGGGTAAGAAAAAGCAGCAGCTCAGTCTGCCAATATTTATTGATTAAGGTCAACAGTGTAAAGAAGAAGAGAGGAAAGGATAATATTGCATGCCCTTCCTTGCAAACAGTTACAGTACCTAGGCTACTAGCACCAGGGTTCTGTTTCTTCCCAAAAACCTTCCAAATCAAAGTTCTTGATATCTGAGCAGGCCAACCATGACAAGATTTCCATAGTCTATGGGGTAAGGAAGACCAGGTCATGAAGTGAAAAAGTCCTCACTAGTACTGACAGTCTAAAAGAGTTCTTCCTATATTCCCAATTCTAGTTCTCAGACTATCTCAATTGTTTTATACACTTTTCAATGTTGCAAGAAGTTAGCTCATTAACTCCGAAACATTTGACTATTCCTTAGTCAGTGTTCCTATTTCTCACCTGTGCAGCACTTTTTCCCCTCTATTTTTAGCATTTATTTCTACTATCTGTTACAACATTCAGTCATACTAAGTGTTATTCTCGTGGATCAGAGTTAAATGTCCAACCGTAAAAAAGGAAAACGTTTGAGGGCCTCCCTGGTGGTGCAAGGGGTTAAGACGCAACCTATGAAGCTATCTGCAGCCACCGAAGCATGAGTTTGATCCCCGGCCAGGGAGCAACCCACATAGCAAAGCAGACCTGTCCTGACTCATCTGCTGCTCCCCTCAGCAGTGTATTTTGGTCAATCTGCCTGTTCTGTTCCCCACTCTGTCTCTGGTGAATCCTCTCAGCCCCCCATACCTCTGGCCTGTACCCCAGCTCTTGTATGCATAAATATATCTTTAAAAAAAAATGTCTTAGAGCCTGTATATGCTCATGTCAAAATTCTAAATTGCCACTCATGTTTAGGTCTCCTTCAAAGGAGAAAGCTTCTTTTCTGAAGTTGGTCTACAATATCCCAGCTAACATACCCAGTAGCCATCACATTTAAACCCATCATTTAGGGCCTCCCCGGTGGCGCAGCGGTTGAGCGCTGGGTTGTGAGGCTGCCCGCAGCCTCTGCAGCTCCAGTTCGATCCCCGGCTGCTCCCCGGACACCAGAGGAGGGTCCCACATGGCGCGCGGACCTCTCCTGCCGCCCGCTGCTCCCCTCAGCAGTGTACTTCGGTCCTTCTGCCTGCTCTGCTCCCCGCTCTGGCTCTGGTGAATTCTCTCACCCTCCCGCGCTTCTGACTGTACCCAGTGCTTGCATAAATAAATAAATAAATCTTAAAAAAAAAAAAAAATAAAAAATAAACCCATCATTTAACTGATGTTAAAAATAGACACAGGAGGGCCTCCCCGGTGGCACAGCGGTTGAGCGCTGGGCTGCGAAGCTGCCCGCGGCCTCTGTGGCGCCGGTTTGATCCCCGGCTGCTCCCCGGCCACCGGAGGAGGGTCCCACATGGCGCGCAGACCTCTCCTGCCGCCCGCTGCTCCCCTCAGCAGTGTACTTCGGTCCTTCTGCCTGCTCTGCTCCCCGCTCTGGCTCTGGTGAATTCTCTCACCCTCCCATGCTTCTGACTGTACCCAGTGCATGTATAAACAAACAAACAAACAAACAAGTAAATAAATTACATGCCTCTTTAAAAAAAAAAAAAGACACAGGAGCCATGCAGACCTCTCCTGCCGCACCCGCTGCTCCCCTCAGCAGTGTATTTTGTCAATCTGCCTGTTCTGTTCCCCGCTCTGGCACTGATGAATTCTCTCACCCTCCCACACTTCTGACTATACCCGGTGCTTGCATAAATAAATAAATCTTAAAAAAAAAAAAAAAAGACACAGGAGCCTCCCTGGTGGCGCAAGGGGTTAAGAACCTATGAAGCTATCTGAGGCCACTGCAGCATGAGTTCAATCTCCAGCCAAGTAGCTACCCACATGGTGCAGCAGACCTCTCCTGACTCGCCCCCCTCGGCAGTATACTTCAGTGAATTTGCCTGTTTTGTTCCCCACTCTGCCTCTGGTGAATCCTCTCAACCCCCCACACCTCCGGCCTGTACCCCAGTTCTTGTATGCATAAATAAATAAAAAAATCTTAAAAAAAAAAACATAGGAGCCCCCCTGGTGGCGCAAGGGGTTAAGCACAGCACTGTGAGGCTATCTATAGCCTCTGCAGCATAGTTCGAGCCCTGGCCAGCCAGGGAGCTACTCACATGGTGCACCAGACCTCTCCTGTCTCGCCCGCTGCTCCCCTCAATAGTGTATTTCAGTCAGTGTGCCTGTTCTGCTCCCCACTCTGTCCCTGGTGAATCCTCTAACACCCCCCACATCGCTGGCCTGCACCCCAGTTTTTGTATGCATAAATATTTAAAAAATTTTTAAAAATGGACGCAAGGGGGCCTCCCTGGTGGCAGAGGGGTTAAAGTTGGCACTATCAAGCTATTGGCAGCCACTGCAGCATGAGTACAATCCCCAGCCAGGAAGCTAACTGACAGAGCACAGCAGACCTCTCCTATCTCTCCCGCTACTCCCCTCAGCAGTATATTTCAGTAGATCCACCAATTCTGCTCCCCACTCAGTCTCTGGTAAATCCTCTCACCCCCCGCCCCTCACCTCTGGCCTACACCCCAGTTCTTGTATGCGTAAATAAAAATAAATTTTTGCAAAAAATTGCACACAAGGGACAGAGAGAGCATTCTGGAAGGCAAAAATGTTCCATACTTTCCTCTGGGTGACATAGTAAACTCTTCAAACTATTCCTAGAATTAGTACATTTTAGCAAATGATTTGATATCTAGATAAAAAGGTAAAAAGAAAAGAATGTTGGTGTTTTATATATATATATATATATATATTTTTTTTAAAGATTTATTTATTTGTTTGTTTGTTTGTTTATACATACAAGCACTGGGTACAGTCAGAAGCGCAGGAGGGTGAGAGAATTCACCAGAGCCAGAGCAGGGAGCAGAGCAGGCAGAAGGACCGAAGTACACTGCTGAGGGGAGCAGCGGGCGGCAGGAGAGGTCTGCGCACCATGCAGGACCCTCCTCCGGTGGCTGGGGAGCAGCTGGGGATTGAACCGGCGCTGAAGAGGCTGCGGGCAGCTTCGCAACCCAGCGC